TACTCCAAACTCCACACCAGGTAAACAGAGCCTGCCATGATCTTCCTAGTTTTTCATCCTACCTGCAGCCTCTATCATCCTCCCCTCTCACTGTTACATAGTAGGTGATTACCTTTTCCTTTTCAGTACACTCCAAATTCATTCTGACTCAAAATCTTTGGCATGCAGCTTCCATTTTTTGTAAACTTGCTCTGTCCTCTCCACTATTCTCCAATGTAAAAATTTCAAAATTACTCAACTATTTCAAAAATTTCTCAGCACCTTTATTCTTGATGTCAATACTCTGTTTATTCTTTTCATAGTATTTATAAAAATCTGGAATTATATATTTATATGTTTTTGTTGCTTGCTTATTTGTTTTTATATCTTACAATCAAAATTGTAAAAGACCAAATCTGGATTGTCCATCATTAATAATCCTGGTCTCAAAACAAAGTCCATCTTATAGTCAAGATGCAGTAAATATTTCTTAAATAAATAAGTGAACCATGAAGCCAATAAAATATAGGGTTATTCTGAAATTGCTTCATTGCAAGAGACATTTTTAAAGACAACATGGAACGGAAACTCTCTTTTGTCCACACTTAAAACCAGGGAGTGAGTGTCTGGATTTTAAGAAAAGCATAAAATTTTTGCATAATTTCTTGAAATTATATTAGTAGTGGGTTAGGAAGTGGATTTAAAAGAAAAGAAATTAGAATCGAATTCCTCCTTTAAAACGCATTGTTTTTATCATCAATTTCTTATTATTACCTTATTTCTCAAGTGGAATAGGTCATATGCTCAGGGAATGTTTATTATTGGAACAATTTAACCGACCAGTTTGTTATTTTGTTCACTTTCCTGTAGAAACGCTAACCCTATTTTTAATATATCCTAGTTGTGTTTTCTTCATTCATAATATTAAATTAATAATACCCTTCTCAAATAATTATTATTTATTTGCTCACTCATTAAAAATGTTTCAATCATCCATTGTACGTAAGATTCTGTGCTAGGCAAGATGATAGAGTCAAGACCTATCAGTATGTGTTTTCAAGAGACCCATCTCATGTGCAAAGACACACATAGGCTAAAAATAAAGGAGTGGTGGAAAATTTACCAAACAAAGAGAAAACAGAAAAAAGCAGAGGTCATAATCCTAGTTTCTAATAAAACAAAGTTTAAACCAACAAAGATGAAAAAAGACAAGGGCATTACATAATGGTAAAGGGTTCAATTCAACAAGAAGAGCTAACTACCTAAATATATATGCATCCAATACAGGAGCACCTAGTTTCATAAAGCAAGTTCTTAGAGAATTACAAAGAGACTTAGACTCCCACACAATAATATGGGAGAGTTTAACATTCCACTGACAATATTAGACAGATCATCAAGACAGAAAATTAACAAAGATATTCAGGACCTGAACTCAGCTCTGGATCAAGTGGACCTGATAGATATCTACAGAATTCTCCATCAAAAAACTTCTTCGTTTCTGCCTTAATTTCATTATTTACCCAGGAGTCATTCAGAAGCAGATTATTCAATTTGCATGTAATTGTGTGGTTTTGAGTGAGTTTCTTAATCTTGAGTTCTAATTTGATTGCGCTGTGGTCTGAGAGACTGTTATTATTTCAGTTCTTTTGCATTTGCTGAGGAAGGTTTTACTTCCAATTATGTGATCAATTTTAGAGTAAGTGCTATGTGGTGATGAGAAGAACTGAAATCATAACAGTCTTTCACCATTTCACACCAGTCAGAATGGTGTTTATTAAAAAGTCAAGAAACAACAGATGGGGGTGAGGTTGGAGAGAAAAAGGCACACTTTTACAAAGTTGGTGGGAATGCAAATTAGTTCAACCACTGTGGAAGACAGTGTGGCGATTCCTCAAAGATCTAGAAGCAGAAATACCATTTGATCCAGCAATCTCATTACTGGGTATATACCCAAAGGAATAGAAATCATTCTATTATAAATGTTCATTGCAGCACTATTCACAATAGCAAAGACATGGAATCAACCGAAATGCCCATCAATGATAGACTGGATAAAGAAAATGAGGTACATATACACCATGGAATACTCTGCAGTCATAAAAAATGAGATCATGTTCTTTGCAGGGACATGGATGGAGCTGGAAGCCATTATCCTCAGCAAACTAACGCTGGAACGGAAAATCAAACACTGAATGTTCTCACTTAAAAGTGGGAGCTGAATGCTGAGAACACATTAATACATGGCATGGAACAACCCACATTGGGGCCTGTTGGGGTAGGAGCAGGGGGAGGGACAGCATCAAGAAGAATAGCTAATGGATGCTGGGCTTAATACCTACGTATTATCTTTGTTCACTGATGACATGATCCTATATCTAGAAAACCCCTAGATAGGTGATGGGTTGATCTGTGCAGCAAATCACCATGGCAAATGTTTACCTATGTAACAAACCTGGCCGGGCGCGGTGGCTCAAGCCTGTAATCCCAGCACTTTGGGAGGCCGAGACGGGCGGATCACGAGGTCAGGAGATTGAGACCATCCTGGCGAACACGGTGAAACCCCGTCTCTACTAAAAAATACAAAAAACTAGCCGGGCGAGGCGGCGGGCGCCTGTAGTCCCAGCTACTCGGGAGGCTGAGGCAGGAGAATGGCGTAAACCCGGGGGGCGGAGCTTGCAGTGAGCTGAGATCTGGCCACTGCACTCCAGCCCGGGCGACAGAGCCAGACTCCGTCTCAAAAAAAAAAAAAAAAAAAAAAAAAAAAACAAACAAACCTGTACATCTGGCACATGTGCCCCAGAACTTAAAATAAAAGTTAAAAAAAAAGATTCTGTGCCAGGCATAGCACAGATTGTTTTGGCAAGCAAGATTGCTCCCTCAATGAGAATATAACAGAGAATACAATGAGATAAAGTATGTAAAGTACTTTATGCAATTTCTGCTTGTTGTGGAACTACATCATGCCTCTTACTCTGAAGAACTTGTTTTTTGCAAACATTTTTGGAACTTTAACTTCCAAAAATGATCTTATCATGTGAGCATTTCATGATCTCCAAGGCTGGAATGGGACTCACGGATTGAGGTGAGAGCTCAGCTTCCGGCTTCATGAGCAGCACACTCTGGTCTACAGCACGGAGGGCACAGAGGGAGAGGGGCGTGGCTGTCACTTTCAGGTGGGTGTTTGAGGCTGGCAGGCTCTGAGCTGAGGAGAATCTCAAAGTTACCTGTAAAGAGGATATGATTAAAGCAGACACTTTTATAATTATTACAGTAACCAGCCTTCCTTCTACTCCAGGCTGAGGGTAGTCTTTTCTATACTTCCTTTCTCTTTATTCATCTTAGAGCAGGATTAAGAGATGAACAGCCTAGCAACTACCAATTCAGTGTCTCTGGAACAACCTGGAAATGTGATGTCAGTTAACTCAGGTTTTCTATTCCTAACATAACTGGTGAAATATCAATTGACTTTAATCATATAGAAATAAAACGCTGCATTGAACTGAAAACACACGTACAAGAAAGACGCATACCTTGCTCTCACTGACCTATCTCTGTGCAGTGTTTTTGTGATGACTGTGTATCATTTGCATGGTGATGTGAAAATCACATTTCACCCCTGAGACCAGTCAACAAAAGTCTCCTCCAGTTGGCAGTCTCAGTCATCTGAAATTCTAAAGCAGTGTGGGACTGCGCATCATGATTGGGGATTTATTGGTCCATTTAATAAAATAAATATCTAATATACAGCCTAAGAGTTAATTGGTTCAGGCAATTTAAACAATGGTGAATAAAGAACAACAAGAAATTGTGCAGAATTTTCCCAAAGATTTGATTCTACTCTGGCCAAAAAAATTAATTGGCAAGTAAATCTATTAGTTCCTTCTGTTGATATAGACATTTCTTGAGTAGAATCTGAGTTATACAGTAGTAGCATCAGGTAACTTCCTTGACTCTTGGACTGAAAACTGATTTGTATTGGAATGAAATATCAATATGTTTAGCTAAATAACATCTGACTTAGGTTGCTAAATTTCACTATGACAATCCAGCTTTGTGGTCTACTGAATTAATACAGCAGTTTGGAATCACTTATCAGAAGACATATATAAGAAAAATCAGTGACTATTTATCTTCAAGATGCAGTAGTATTCATCTTTCTAATTCAATATACTATGAAAACATTGCTTATGGAGAATCTCTTTGAAATATATTTGTTATTTTTAGAAAATTTAAGTTCATTAAAATGTGTTAGTGACTGTCCATGTCAAAAGAACAAGTAATTTAGGATTATAATAAACTAAAAACACTATTAACAAGAAGTGGACATGTTAGAAAATAGAAAATGTTTTACTGATATGAAATGTAACTTTAAGGCATATTTCAAAGCAATCTGTACCTCATATATTATATTATTACCAATGTTATTCTTAAGGAATAATTATATCCAGTTGAGTATAACAAATGATTCCAACTATTACATAATATTTAATGTGTACACTAAATCTGTTGTTTTTAAGTGAAGAAATAAGTATATGAAGTTTGAATAGAAAACTATTTTTCTCTGTTTCAGCGAAGATTGAAAAAATTTTTAAATGTATCATTTTGCAAGGATGCATGTCTGACTTGGGATCTTTCCTCACTTCCTCAGTGCACTATTTATTTGTTCACCATCCCACCAAGATGTCTCATTTTTAGGGTGCTTAATTTGTAATTTTAATAGATCTACTGTTTTTCTAATTTTTGTGGTAGTCAACTTTCTTCTGAATCTTCTTATGAATCTTTGTTCATGTTATTTTTTACAGCGGATCTTCAGTTACAATCAATGATGATTTAAAAGGTATTTAACATGAAGTGATTGAGTGTAATGTCCATGGGCTTTTGCTTCTATGGTGAAGTCGTATACTGTTGCACAGGGACTGTCATAGGTTTTGCAAAATCAGAAGTGTTTTTCAGACTGGAGTCCAGGGAGAAAGTCTTTTTCTGCCAATTCTGTTTTATAATACTTCTCTCATTTCCAGAGTGTGAAGAGGATACTGACCCACCCAAAAGAGACCCCACAGAGAGAACGAATAAGATGTGCTGAAAGCCGGAGCATAACTTGGCCATTCCGAGATTTAACAACCAACTAACTACCCATCATTAACAGTAAAGGTACTGAAGCATGAAGGAGTCTCTCCCAGTGGGTATGAAACACACAGAAATGCAAACAGAACAGACACTATGCTTCTTGGACACATCATCCAGGTTTAATAGCACTCTTTAGTAAGGTGGAATTAAAGGTTTACATCCGAATCCACTGTGTATTTTTCTTATTTCACTGTATATTTAAAACAAGATAACCTAAATATAGGTCTCAGGGCAGAAATGTTCACTTGCTATAAACACATTTTGTTGTAATCTCCACAGAGCCCATGTTAAAAAAAAAAAAAAAATTCCTTCCAGGTTTATTTGAAAACAGGCATTTGAAGTAGGCAGCTCTTATCTGATCGCTAACGTTAGGATTATGCTGCCAGAGTAGTGAAAATCAGATAAACAGCACCAAATTCTGTTGGAATAAAGCATACTTGTATCTCAGTGAGCTTCACATGGCAGCTCTGCATTCCTTAAATAAAAAATATGCCATTTGAACCTATGTTAAATTTTTGTGCTACCATTGTTTTTAAAGTGTCCAGGCTGTTTCTCATCTGTTCTATATTATCAAGCTGAGTTTAAACTCATGACAACTTACTGGTGTCTGTAGCGGTACATGGAAGTGTGCCAGTGTCTGATGGGGTACAATTGGCACAGCCTTATGAGGCATCATTTTTAATCGAAAATATTAGCAACAAAAGATTTTAAAATTAAAACTATTAAAGGTTTATAGATGACTTGATTCTAAAATTCATATGAATTTTATAACAAAACAAGAGACTTTTAAAAAACTGTGTTTATGATTGCCTATTTTGGATGTCAGCCCTAGACCTCTCAGTGTGACATCACTCTCCGCCTTTAGAAGTAGTTGGGAGAAATGTTTTAGGAGCACCGTATGGCTATCTTCCTTATTACCTTCTTTTCCACACATCACCATGGGAGAAGAATAAAAGGACTAGTCTTAAACAAAACAACCCACCTTGTTGGCAAAACAATTTTCAATCTCAAGCTTGTCGGCGTCTGCAACAATTTCTCCATTAGGTAAAACGGTGTAAACAAGCAGGTGAGCACGAGGAGCGGAGTCTGATTCCACTCGAAAGGAGAAGGAAAACACCCCTTTCACTGGAGAATTGAAAAAGAAGAACAAGTCCAGTATCATACATTAGCAACAGAATTATCTTTTTTTTTTTTTTTTTTTTTTTTGAGACGGAGTCTCGCTCTGTTGCCCAGGCTGGAGTGCAGTGGCCGGATCTCAGCTCACTGCAAGCTCCGCCTCCCGGGTTTACGCCATTCTCCTGCCTCAGCCTCCCGAGTAGGTGGGACTACAGACGCTGCCACCTCGCCCGGCTAGTGTTTTGTATTTTTTTTTAGTAGAGACGGGGTTTCACCGTGTTAGCCAGGATGGTCTCGATCTCCTGACCTCGTGATCCGCCCATCTCGGCCTCCCAAAGTGCTGGGATTACAGGCTTGAGCCACCGTGCCTGGCCAGCAACAGAATTATCAATTTTATTTTTTAAAAAGGCATTTCCAACTATGGACTTTATTTACATTTGGAGCACACTGAAGTAAGAAAAGACCTGCATTTATACCACTGTGCAGGTAGTAGTGTTCAATAAATATATGCTGAGCTAATGACGTTTTCCCTTAAAATGACATTTCCTTAATCCTTAACATGAGCTAATGACAGTTTTCCTATATCAGGTTTAATTGTTCATTTCCTCTGCTTAAGAAGCAAAAAGACATTTAATACATGTCTCTATTTCTAAATTGAAATATATTATTCAGAAAGCAGTCAAGAGAGAAGAAAGAGAACTTCTAGACACTTTTGGTTATAATTCTTGTGTGTGTAAGGGCAACATAAAGAAGGCAACACAGTCTTTTCCTTCAGGTCATTTATAATACAGCAGGGATACAGACACAAATCACATAAAAAGCCTTGTGAGCCTTTGATTTTTATAATAGAATTCTATGTGTTCATCTTAGTGGTTGTCCTCTGTGTGAACTACATAGTGCTTATGTAACCTTCCACTTGATTTTTTTCATAAATGTTCTAAGTTTGATCTTTGTAGCATAAAATTATTCTTTAAAAATTGTACCCTTCCCGTATCTATAAAAGATTTGAGGGCAGCTTTTATGAAAATACAGAGGAACAGCACAGTCAAAATTTGAAACAGTAAGATGAAAGCCGAATGAACGTGGAATTCTGGAGCAGGGTTAAACATTTCAGGAGTTAATTTTATTAGGAAGCTGCAACAAAGTGGTTATTATACTAGAGTACTTAAATTTTTCATTGAGTTTCCGAAATGTCAAAGTCAAAACAACCATTTACATAGCTGTCATTAAATAAAATGAAGTATATTTTTTCTTAGAGAGACACTTCTTCTCCCCACCCCACCACCTTAGGACTCAATCCATACAGGATTTAAACTCCACTGCAGAAACAAACTTTGAAGATATTGCTTTGTTAGGCAGTAACTTTTTCTTATGTTATTAGAGACAACCTTACCTGCTCTAAAAAAATCAATACAATGTCCAATAACATAAAGTCAAGGATTAAATGGAAATTTAGAGTCAATGTTTCATATTTGAATGAATGTATTCAAATGTTGTGTTTTATTTCAAGCAGAAAGAAAACAATCAGTAAGAGATTATATAGACCTAAGAGATGTTACAGACCTAAGAAGAACCTATGGTGAGTGGGGTCTTAGAGTGTGGGTATTACATCCTTATCATGACCTTAGAAGCCTCTTTCTGACTCAAAAAGACTGAGAGAAATTCTATGAAAAAAGGGTTTTCATCTAGAAGTAGAGTTACAGGAAATTTATTAAGAGGCTAATCTGGAGCTCAAAAAATTACAAACAAACATTAATATTTTTAAATCATACTTAAATTCATAATTAATTAAAAAGGTATTTTAGGCTGGGTGTGGTGGCGCAGGCCTGTAATCTCAGCACTTTGGGAGGCTGAGGCGGGTGGATCACAAGGTCAGGAGATCAAGACCATCCTGGCTAACACGGTGAAACCCCGTCTCTACTAAAAATGCAAAAAATTAGCCGGGCGTGGTGGCGGGCACCTGTAGTCCCCACTACTCAGGAGGCTGAGGCAGGAGAATGGCGTGAACCTGGGAGGCAGAGCTTGCAGTGAGCCGAGATGGCGCCACTGCACTCCAGCCTGGGCCACAGAGCGAGATTCCATTTCGAAAAAAAAAAAAAAATTATTTCAATTAAACTTTACGTGACTATTTAAAGGAAAAGTTGTAAATAGTTGAGTTAGGTGACTAATTAAAAATCAATTTTTATTTGAAAATTTATTTGAGCTCTGTTAATAAAAGTTGCTTCAGTCAGTGATAGCTCCTAAATATTCAATTTTGTTTCAAAATTTGAAACAAACAAACAAAAAGAAGTCTATTATTTCTTTATGAGATTTAACTTGGGGACAACAGGTAACAGGTAAATAGGCCAGCTGTACTTATCTTTTGTAAAAAATATATATTTTTACTTATCTTTTTAAGAAATGTTAAGCATTCTTCCTAGGATAACAGGAATTAAGAGATATTTGTGATTCAAGGAAATAAAGAAGAAAAGTATGATCTAAGATAGAGAAATACTATTAACCCAGTTGACCTCAATGACATTCAGAGAACACTCCACTTAACAGCAGCAGAATACGCATTCTAACATTTACCAAGATAGACCATATTTTCTGAGCTATAAAATATCTCCATAAATTTAAAAGAATTAAAGTCATACAATCATAATGTCATTAAATTAGAAATCAGTAACAGAAAGATCTCTAAAATATCTCCCATTTAGAAACTAAATAACACACTTCTGAATAACTCATCATTCAAAGAAGAAATCAAAAAGGAAAGTAGAAAATACTTTGAACTGATTCAAAATGAAAGTATCACGTGTAAATATTATGGGATGCAACTAAAGCATTATTAACAGGAAAATGTGTAACACTAAACCCTTGTATTGGAAAAGAAGAAAGGTCTCAATCAATGACTCCGGCATCCTCATGAAGATAGTACAAAAAGAAGACTAAATTAAAATCAATCTTTTACTGATAAAGATCAGTGGATACCAATGACATAAAAATAAAAAAAAAAACCAGAGAGAAAATCAATTAAACAAAAAACTAGCTGTTTGAAATGATCAGTACAGTTGAGAAGCTTCTAGCCAAACTGATCAAAAGAAGACATAAATTATAAGTATCTTGAATGAAAGAGGTTCTATCACTATAGAAATTCAGATATTTTAAAACTATAAAAGAAGATTATGGACTATTTTATGTAAATAAATTAGACAGTTTAGAAAAATTGACAAAATTTTAAATGACATACACAACCAAAAATTTACTAAAGTAGTTGCAAACTTAAATTGCACTTCATTAAAGAAAATAAATTTGTATTTAAAATCTTCTCACGAAGAAAATTCTATGTCCAGATGGCTTCACTGGTAAATTCAACAAAATATTTAAGAAAAAGAAATACCAAATATTAATGAATTCAGATATTTAGGGAGAAATCTTTAAAGAAAAGTGTTAAAGGGTCAGTCTGGTTTCTTCTTCCTGCTTATAACAAAACCGGAGAGGAGAAAAATAAATTGAATGAGGAATTAGTCATCAAAAATGAACTAGGACTTGATAATTTGGAAATTTCTCAGCTTATCTAGATTGCAAAAATCGGTAAAATTAAGACATTCACTGTCAGGAAATTGTGCTCTAGAAAAACAGCTATGATGTGATTGGACAAACTTTTGCTAAAGATTTTATTTGCAGATAAAATGTCAGAGTAATTTAATCACAAAAAAGGGCTCTTCGAAGTGCATGACTCTTAGATACCCTTATCCATCTCAACAAAAGCCAAAAGTGAAGATAGAATTATTCAGCAAATGTCAACGAAGAGGCTTTTTGTTTAACGGAATGAATCTCTGTGACACACAGGAGACCTACATGGTTCTTGAAAAGTTTGTACTAATAGAAACATGGTCAGCTTCAACTGAAAAGGACAGAGATAGTACAGAATAAAAGAATGTCAGACCTCTCAAATTATGCAAGCAGGAAACAAGGTCTGATAAAACAATTCAGCTGCAAACGCATCCTTCATGAAAAAGGGCGAATGATTCCATGAATGGATTCTTGAGCCCAGAGGATAGAGAAATGAACTAAAGAGGATTATTCCCAGGTGTTAAAACTACGCTGTTTTCCCAGCCAGATTTCAGCACTTCTTAGGACTAATGACTCTTTTTGCCCTAGGATGGATTATGTCCAGGACCTCATTAACACCTAATTTAGATGATTGAGATGTTGAGATTTGGAACTTTTGAGCTGATGAGACTGTGAGCTTTTAATCTTGTGTTAATGCTGTAATGGATTGAGGCTTCTACCAGTGATGGATAGAGTGAATGCACTTTGCATGAGGGATGAATGTGAATCTCTGGGGCCAATGGGAAGATTGTGGTAAATAGAATAACGGCCCCTGAAGCTATTCAATTTCCAATACTTCTGCATGTGTTACTTTATATGGCAAAAGGGCCTTTGCAGAAGTGATTAAATTAAGGATCTTGAGGTGTGAAGTTTATTCTGGATTATCCAAATAGGCCCAATGTAATCACAAAGATCTTTCTAGGAGGAAGACAGGAAGGTGAGAGAGATTTGAAGATGGTATGTGGCTGAATTTGAAGATAGAGAAAGGAACCACAAGCCAAAGAATGCAAGAGGTCTCTAGAAGCTGGAAAAGGCAAGGAAACAGTCCGCCCTCAAGCTCCAGTCCTGACACCTTGAGTTTAGCCTAGTGAGACTTCTGACCTCCAGAACTAGAAGACAGAAGTGGTATTTTAAGGCACTAAAACAAAGAATTAGAAGTGTTGTTTTAAGCCCATAAATTTGTGGTAATCTATTTCAGTAGTCATAGGCAATGCATATACAAGCACACAAAGTAAAATTTTTCTGTGGTTATTTTCCATATTTTTCAATTATTTTCTGCCTTCTAAAGACATTTAAGACATAAAATGAATATATATTAGTTTAGGAATAAAATTTAAAATGTAGAAATGCTATATAAAAGAAAAAATTTTAATTGGGCTAAAGCGAACCCAGTATGTCATCCTATTACATCAGCTTCTTCATCTTTGGATGAAGAGGTTGATGACTGTTTCTTCTAATGTGAAAATAGCTCCAAATTGCTAAATTGTTCAGAATTTGACAAGATGAGGGAGGAAAGAAAAAGGAAATCTTGAAAATACTTACTGTTTCCCTGTTCAATGGATAATACGTGGCTTCCTGATTGGGAGATTTTTCCTCTTGCTTTAATCTGAAGACAGAGGGAAATATATTCATTATTATTTAAAAGAATACATTTTAACCTAACTTTAAAACATTCATGACATATGGGTGAATCATAACCTTATTACCCCAACCTAGAAGTCATTTTGATCACTAAACTTCCTTTTCAATATCTTCATATATGTGTCTTTACATACTTTAAATAAAAATATATAATTTTATGATGTTTTACTATTTTATCTAATATTTATCACTCCTAATATATTATATGTAAATATGTAAACAAAATTTATGTATTTTTTCAACAAACATTTCAAACATCTACCTTATGCAAAGCAATATATAGTGAAGGCAGATATTAACTATGCATAACTATTCTCTATTATTGCCCCTATTTTTTAAAAAAACTAAATGTATGCGCATTCTCTATATGCCAGGAACTGAACTAAGTAATTTACTGTTAATTTAATTGTTTAATTTACACTATAATTCTATGAAGTAGGTATTAATATTATTTCCAGGACTAAAGTGAGATGACTGACATTTGCCTTTCCAGATGAAATTAGGTAAATTATCCAAGGTCATATATCTAGGAAGCAATAAATCTAGGAAATTCAAATGTATTGTTAATTTTTCTAATTTTTTTATGGAATTAAGAAAATGTTATTGATAGTTAATGCTCTTATACAGAATTCCCTATATTTAACTTTTTCTTCTTAAAATGACTTATTTGATTAACTATTAGCCTTGGATATTTTAAATTTGGGGGCATTCATGGGAATATTGGCCTCAAAAGTATCACTCCAATTTATAATCTGCCTGTTAATGTACCTTTTCCTTGCAATCACACCAGTCATGAACTTTGTAAAATAATTACAATTGAATATTTTTCCAGAAGATTGTTTATAAGTTTTATTTCCTTTTGAAGTAGTTCATGGCTCTTAGCCTTTGCTTATTTATCTACTGAGTTCTAAGAAAAAATTTTCTCTTTGACTAAAAACATTTTATCCTAGGCTGTTTCCTCTCCTGCTCAACAAATTGCCATTGGAACTCTGCAAGGAAAAATTCTAAAAGTTTCAGTGGTGACCAGAGCGTAAATGAGAAATTAAAGCATTAATATTTGTTAGGAAGTCACTTCTCTTTGAGCATAAAAACAACAAAAAATATATTATTGTTATCTTGTAAATGGCATTACTTAGACAGGAACCCAGCAATTTTGGAGTCTATACAATTAGAAAGAGCTACAGTGGCTCTTATTCTTACCAAATAGTAGAAGGTTAATTCTTTTTCATCCTTGACAATCTGTTTATTCAGGATATAGTGTACTTGAATCTCCTGGGTTTGTCCACAGGTCAAAGTACCAATAGTAGGTTTGAGGTGAATATAACTCTTGCTTGGGGAAAA